AAGAAAATTTAGAAGAAGAGCACAATAAAGGCACCTTCAAATTACTTAGCATTGTACAGTGTTTTACCACACTCACTACATAATTGGCGAGAAAATTGTATTAAAAGCTTAATTTCTTCATATAGCATACAATATAAAACACCATGATATACTTAAGAAGCAAAATAAGAAATCAAATTTGAAAAGCCAATGTTTTACAAATGAGTAAAAAAAATTAACAATCTAAAACCTGAAGTCAATAATGATAATGCATAAGTAAATTTAAAAATCACTTATATTGTTGTTGATCACATTTTATGCAAGGCTCAAAATGTAAAGAAAATTGTTGTGCTAAAATGTCTACAATACACAGTTGGGCCCAAGATGTAGCTTAAAAAAAAAGATAGTGATAACTTATTACATCCAAAGATAGATTTGCAATTATCACAAAAGTGAGAAGTAGATTTGCTATTATGATGAATACATAAATATTCTCCATTTTTTTGTATATTTTAGGAATATGTATGATATTGTTTCATATATATATATATATATATATATATATAATTAAAATCAGTTTACATAAAATTCATAAAATTCATAAAATTGGAAAACTTTGATTGCTCTATGAATTTTATTAATTTCATAAAATTCATAGAGCAATCAAAGTTTTCCAATTTTTTTAGTTTTAAAGTTTACTGAAAAATCGTTGTGCCTTCCAATTGAATTTGTAGGTTTTGAATCCTTATTAAAATGTAGGATCTCTTTACTGTTATACATGGTTTGCAATCATTTGGTTTTAATAATTATATGATGCTCTTTATATCTATTTGATTCATCAAAGGCTAACTTTTTTTCTCTTGGATATGTTAATGAGTTTGTTAATTTGTAAATACTAAAGCATCATGCTATTTAATAATTTATTATGAATATTATCTATATATATATAGATAGATATATATACATTGAAAACACAAAACCTATAAATTTTCTTTCTTTTGATGAACAAAAGCACTTTTACCATAGACTCAATTAAGATGTCATAAAAAATATTTGAGAAAATCATAAAGTACATATATTTTATGTATGTATGCACGTGTATATATATATATTCTTTATTTTTTCAATCTATTTTAAAATCTATAAAAGAATCAACACCAAAAATGATAACTACTTGGACTTACAATTCTTAAGGTCAAAAGAAATTCTTGTACTAATGTTCCTTTCTATTTAGAATATTTATATATATTGCCTACCTTACATTCTTGTAAAGATCACAAATATTTGATTACAAAATAATGTTAACAAAAAGATTGTGCTAGAAGATAAATAAAATTATTGAGCATTGTATATCAAGAAGGTGTATTTTGTAATTCCAATGCCAAAGAAAAAGCTATGAAAATCCTAGTTGGAAAAAGTAGTAATAATGATAGTCATGTTGAACTAGAAAATTTACAACGACAAATAATAAAACATCAATTCTGTACAATTGAAATTATGTAACATCTACAAGTTTATCAAGTTAAATTTATGTTGAACATGATGGTTCAATTTTTGGATATTTGGACAATGCACATGTAAATCATGCCATTTCTTTATGTCACAATGATGGTGTATGTAGATTCACACACTATTTCTCAAAAAAAAAATTTAGTAGATTTTTGAACACCTACTCTTTTCTAATATATGGATCTTATATTGAAAAGTTCCACCATACCATCTAAATTATATTATAAAACTTGAAAGGTGCTTCCAATGCCAAGCTTCAATACCCCACCAAAATAGATGTTTATTCTTGCCCTGTTCACATGTTTTTTAGAATCATATTTATGAAGTCATTGAAATAAAAATATATATGCAAAAAATGGAACATGATTCATGTAATGTTTTATATCTCATGAATTTGGTAAATGTTTTAGTACTCAAGTATGAAGGTCTTGCAAAAAAAAAAGTATTTTACTATTGAAGCCAAGGTTGCAAGCAAATTGGGATAGTTTTATTTTTGTATTTTTTCTTTATTAATACATACCAACGAATTTAATAACGCTTTTTATTTTTTATTTCTTAACTAATGAAGAAGTTGCAATTTTGAATCTTTTCACTTTGCAAGATTTTTGTACGTCATAACAATCTATTTACTTATAGTAAAATCCCTTAGAATCATTTGGTTTTCCAAGTCTAAGAATGGAAAATCTGAATCGCTAGGTCTATAAAATATATATTTATAATTTATGAATTTATCTCAAGATTTGGGGCACAAAGCCTTTTTGAACTTCTACAAATTCCAAAATTAGAGTGTGATCCTTGGAATGAGGTTTTGTCTTGATCCAAGTTTCATTTATTTTTCATTTAAAAGTTATTTTTTATTTTTCATTTCACCAAATTACGAAATCCAAAATATTATTGTTGTGCCATGTGCTCAGGCCGTGAAGTATAATATTAAATAAATAGATTTGATGTCCTCCAATGATACTATACTCCTGAACCTACTTTTTCACGTAAAAATCACATGTTTTGACTCTTACTATTTGTAAGAACAGTACCACATCCCAATTTATAATAGAATAACATAAATGGTTCTGTTAAAATTTGTGCAATAAGCTTTGTCATTATTGTATACAGCATTTATTAACTCTAATTGAGAATTTTGCGTAGTCTAAATTTGAGATTCATTCTGTCCGTTGGAAATAATTTTGAAAGTTTTGTTGCAATTCTATTAATGAAAAACTATGTATTGTTGAAGTATAATAATATACTAGTAAATTAATTAACTTGTATGTGAGTAATTTATTAAATTAAACATTTTTTTTGATTGGTATATTTTGGTGAAACAATAAAATTATAATATTGGGTTTTGATTTTAGCAGAAGAATTATAATAGAAACATGCAAAAATTGAATAATAATAATAATAATAATAATAATAATAGAATGTAGATAAACACGAAACAGATGGCATATTTTATATAACAGAAAAAGATGCAGTTTTGTTTTCAAAAATGGTCTACAATATATATATATATATATATATATATATATATATATTTATCCAAACAAAATCAATTTAAAATTGCATATCAAGTGATATTTTTTGTAGCAAGATCTTTGAATATAAGCTGCTTTATTGCTTTGAAATAACATGCTAACAACTCGAATCAAGCTAATAGAATTACATTGATAAGAATAAGGTGCCAACTTTCTCAGTACACAAAGAACACCTCCTAAGAACTTTTAAACTATAATTTAAACTATATATATATATATATATATATATATATTTATTTATATTACACCCTCTCAATCCTTATATATGTATGGATATATATATATATATATATATATATATGTATGTATGGATATATATATATATATATATATAGACATACATATAAATATAAGTGAGATTTATTTCCAATTAAGATATATTTTTTAATACATCAATCGACAGACCAACAGCAACATCAAAAAAAGTTGCAAATTTACAATTAATACAAGTTCAATATCATGTATGTATGTGTGTATGTATTTATATACCTCGTTTACAAAACATACGATCTAAATTAGATCAATAATTGAAAATATGATTTTTTTAATAAGACATATATACTAATCAAACCATTAATATAACAACTCTTATCTTACATGCCTCATAATGGGAGATTATTTTATTGTGACATCTATGGAAAATTCAAAATCAATTGAACAGCTGCCTCAATTTTTTAGAGTAAAATATGAAATATTTAAATATTGTAGAATACTTACTATCATTTTTTTTTAAATAATTTCAAACTGCACCCACGAATTTAGAATTCAAAATATCTCTTAGTAAATTTTTTATATATATATTTTTGAAAATGCTACTTCTTTGCTTTTGAGGAGATCATTTAGTTGTAACACTGCAAATAAAATTTACATTGAAGATATCTTCGATTATAATCTTTTGATCATATTTCAATACAAATTTGCAGTTGTGCCAACATGAAAAAAGTGTGCTTTCCTTAACCAGAATAGATAAACATAAAATACTACAATTCAACATCAGATCAAAACATTTGCACATACGTAGGAATTACACAATACATGTACATTTATAAACACATGACACACACACAGACAGGTAGATAGATAGTATTATTTTTAGCAGAAGTTGCTCTTTGTTTCAGAAGGATCTTCGCGTACATTTGTGTGTGTATATATATATATATATATAGATATATAGCAATAACTACACTCAATTATTTCTGACACATGTGCGCATATATCACTGTAGATATATATAGACATCATTTCCCTATTTAAGAAACCACTCAACAATCTCATGCTTCATTTCACACTTTGAAAAGCTCATACACTTCCAGACAAATATGCGTATACACACAATGATTCCACAAAGCACAGGGAAAAGACGGTGAGAAAAATAGGTCGAGAAACCTGCACACACACACTCACAGCATGAGTGCCTCCTTCCCTCTCTGCCTTGCCCTGCCCTGCTTGCTTGCCCTGCTGGTTGCACTGCAGAGGAAGGGCTAGAATGACAAGCTGAGCCGAGCCGAGGGTGGAGGTTCCTCCAACATCAAAATCCCATTAACTGAGAAGGAAAGAGGGCATTGGGTTCATTACCCCACTCTGCTTCTTCATCTGCTCTCCATGAAGCTATTTGCATGCTGTGGGCCAGGCTCCGCCAGCCGCAGTATCTCCTGAAATCCATGGAGTAGGGCGTCCCCTTGGGGTCCCTCTCTTCTTCTTTGCTTTATGTGGATAAGCAAGCTCTGGTTTAGCCCTGATTGGGTATAATAATGGCAAAGTGGCAATATTAATATGGACCACATCTAATGGAGGAATAAAAAGCCCTCCAGCGAGCCAAACTAAAAGTAGACGCCACCAGTCTGACAGCTATCGGGCAACTGTTCTAGCCATTTCAAACAAAGGATCAGTCGTGGAGTGTTAATAGCCTGTTCACATCGTTGTTGCTTGTGAAGAAGGTGAGAGGAAGCATCTCCAAGTGACGAAGGAACATTAATGGGAATAATAAGTAAAAGCTATTGGTTAAAAAAATTTATTTCACACTTGCACATAAAAAAGAACAAGCTGGCAAATCGCCACGCCTGACCTAAGTCATTTATACGGATGGGAAAAAAACAGCAATAGGTTTAGCCATTCTAACCCCACAAAGGGTCGTCTCTAGTATGTATAACTACAGATGTGCCAAGTACTCTGCTGTGAAACAAAAACCAAGCGAAATCAGCAACGGCTTTTGCAAAAACGGCCATGACCCGGGTAGATGCCGCACTGAAGGTGGTGAGGCTGGTCATGGAATCGGAGCCCTCAGAGTAGAGTTCTGGGCACAACTGAAGAAGACCCAGAGTGTGGAAAATAATCTGCTCATGGAAGATAGTACAAGGCGAATTTGTGGACCGGTCTCTCTTCAAAAAGCAGCTTGTTGCGACAGGCGGGTAAAAGAGAAGACCTGAAAACTTCGTTGTACCTCCAGGTAGACACACTCCTTGGAAATATGAACAAGCACAGGAACCAAAGATATCTGAAGAAAAAGCACTTGAACTGTGCTGAAAATCGTGAATGGGTTGACGACGTTGAAAAACTCCGATGCAATGGCCATGTCCATCTTCACCTGAGGGAACGGAAGAAGCCCACTGATCGCAGATGGCATTGTCTGAGAATCTCTAAAAAAACAATTTTGAAAGCTGTGGGTACAGCTATCGTTTTGGACCGATAGTCGTGGACTCATACTCCATGCTTTTGTGAAAGTCCATTTCCAACAACGTTCAGTCAGTCGTCCAGTGTATAATACAGTTCTTGCAAACATCGAACAATCTCGTCGGTGTTAACCTCACACCCTTCTGACATCTGCAATTCGACACCTTATTTCAATTCAGTTGCTAATCATCTTAGATCACCCATACACTAGATGTTAAGCAAGTGAACGTGGTTCAATAGCTGAGAAAATAAGCAGACATTCGATGTGCATATCACTGTTGAAAGAGGATAAAAGACAGGAAACTCACCTGGGCGCAGCAAGTGAGATCCACCGTCGCTGCAGAGAAGGAGAGGATGTTCGCATTAAGAATGACCAACTTCATCTTCTCGAGTTCTGCAAGTGATTTCACGAGTAAACTTTTTCGCTTTTCGCAGTGCATCCTTATGAGTACATTTTTATCAATCTTCCGCGCTTCAATCTCAGGTTGAGAGCAATCGTCTTCATCTACAACATCGTCGCTTAGCTGCTGCTTCACTACAACAGCTGGCTTGGATTCTCCCTGTGAGACAGGACCAGGAGTTGTGGAAGGCTGCGAGCTTTTCTTGTTAGAGAGTGAGCGTATTCTCTTCTTCGGAAGCCTCTCTTCCATTGTCTTAAGCTTCTCTTCCAATGTCTTTACATACTTGATTGCATCTCCCAGCACAGAGGCTTTATCCATCTGTCACGAGTCACGTACAATATATGACACGGTGGTTAAACTCCACTCAAACTTCTAAACTTAAAGCTTTCTATACTCGTAAAGACCAGCGTGGTACGACCTTGTCCAGAGGACTTACTTTCTTCAAGCCGGGAACAATCGCAGAAAGAGCAATGAAGCGTTGGCTAAGCTTCTCCCGCCGCTTCCGTTCTGCCATAATGTGATCCTGTGTATGACCTGTGCTTTTCACCGGTGGTGGCGGTTGTGTAGGCATACTGAGCCTAGAGCCACCTCCATTTGGAGAAAAGAATCCCGTTATTTTTTGCTTGCCCTGCTGGACATATTCGATCGAGGAAAGAGGACTTGAACCTCGAAGAACCTCCATAGAGAGAGCATCAAGCTTGCTGCCATTTGCACCTAAAGATACAGCTGAGCTTCCTGAGTCTACTCGACTCCCTGGAGTTCTCGGATGCAGGGCACCATCGTCATGCAAGTGTTGAACAGGCATCGCATAGGTGTCCAGCTGCTGGGGCAGCATCTGGTGCTCCTGCTTTTGATGAGGATTTTGCCCAGATGGTTGATGAGTTGCAAATGTCATGAAATCCAAGCCTGATGAAAAACTCATTGACGTATTCCAATGAGGATTCGCTTGGTACTGGAAGTTGCTCAGGTTAGGCTCGTAGCAGTTCGGTTTCAACATTTTCTGGGGTCGCTCTTGGTGGTAAAACCCGTCCAGATCCGCAAAACTCTGTCGCTCCTTTTGCTGCTTCAAACTCTCCAGGGGTGCGACATAATCGTTGCTGCTCCCGCTAGGCAACCCGCCACCATATTGCTCGACGCTGGTCTGGTTAAACAACGGGTCGAACTGCCTCACGAGTTGGTGATCCTCCATACCCTAGTCTCAATAAAAAAAAACCAATCGCGAATCAGTGCAACCACTCATCTCTTATCTTTCGCAGTTGAATATTCAGCCGGAAGCGGTTTCAGAGACCATCCACCGAGAACAAGGCGCAGCTATGATTGCAGCTACGGCGACCACTACCAGAGATTTTTCAAAAATGACTTCCTTACCATTTCTGAAAGCCACTGCATGGCGGCTGCCGGTGATGATTCGCCACTTCTTTTGCAAGAGATCGTATGGTGCGGTTCAATACCAAACACAAAAACAAAACAAAAACAAAACAAACAAAAAAAAAAAAAAAAAAAAAAAAAAAAAACTCGCAAAGAGTGTGAAAACTATGTTCCTCCACAACGTAAGGAGGTCACCAAATCAAGGTTATTCGACTACCGCTCCAAGTCGAGATCCACACCCACCACCGGAACAACCTGTAGAGAACTCACCTCCAACTCAGTCAACAAACTAGATGACATCTCATCATACGCCCATCACGAGACACTGCTACGAACAAGGAGCACTCACACGCGAACCACTAGATAGAAGCTGCAATAGAGCTGCGCGAAGGTAGGGGCCATCACAAAAGCGGAACCCATCCAGAGGTAGCGAGGGAATTCGGGGGGTTAACGCGTAGAACGCGGATCCAGAAATCTCACGCGCAAAAAACCGAAAAGCCAAAACAACCCAAATCTCTAACACAATCCCCGAAGAGGAAGAGCAGCAGAGGAAAAATCGAAGGAAGAGTGAGAGCAACGACTAGCTCAGAGAGGCATTGCGCGCACATACCTTTCCCTTGCGAAATTGGACTGGAAGGGGGGAGAAAGAATCTGGGGTTTCACAATGCGCTGCTGCAGAAGAAGACTTTCTTCAGCTTTGACGGAGAGGAAGCCGGGCCTGAGACTGAGGTGAGCCGACGGAGGAAGCCCCGCAAAGGGAGGGGCCAGCCAGCGAGAGGAAACCGCGAAGATGAAGGAGGCACATAACGACACTCCGCGAATGTACAGTCAGTCTCTCTCTCTCTCTCTCTCTCTCTCTGACGAACGACGCTCTCTGTTATCTACAGCGCTTCTCATCGACCCGCGCGAGGTGGTGATTTCGTGAGCCGCGTCGGAACCCGCACACCCTTCCTCGAATCCCATTTACCCAACGCGAGCTTTTCTAATTCTGTCGCATCATCTCATCGCTGTCATCGACGCGTCTACCAACTTCGCCATTTCAGGTGTGACAGTGCGATGAGTCTCCTGCAGAACCTTAAATTTGAGTACCAGAGTTCAGCCTATTTGTTGTTTGTTAGTTTGGCAGCAATCGGTGGAGATTCCGTTGTTTAAGTTTTTCTTCCCGATGTTGTGTGGCATGAGTCTAGCTCACGAGGTGGTGCACTGGCGCAATTTGAAGCCTGTTCTGATGGCGTGAGAAGGCCCTCTGTTTCAAATCAAGTAAATGACATCTTTCTTAAAACCTACACAAAAACATGTTGCATGGTTTTGAGCCACACTCTGCGGTGCAACTTCCTTCAGAAAAAGCATGACTGTGTCTGCTTCAAAAACCTCCCATTGTTTCAATTTTATCATCCCATGGGATGTTTCTTCAATATTAAGTCTTGGACGAACATGCATCCTTTCTGAACAGTTCTCAGATTGCACTGATTCTCACATGTTTTCTGTGGATTATTTTTTTTATTGTTTTTGAACATTAAATATATGCAACCAGAAAGAGTTTTGTTGATTTGTCAGCAACTGATTTTGGCTTAAATTTGACTAATTTACTGTTGGGGATTTTAATTTACACAACAAAAATAGTGTACAACATTTATCCACAAATTATGGTTTGGGGGTTTTACTTTGTCAATACAACAAAATTGGTTTTTGGAAAATAGTATAAGAAATAAATTTACAAATCTTGTAAACTAACTAGCTGATATTGAAGATAAATTTGAGTAACACAAAAAATAAATAAATAAATAAATAAATACAAACGCTTGGAATATAAATGCATATGAATGAAAACTTGTAAGTTTTTCAACGTATACAGTTCAAAAGATATATTTACTCCAATTGACTAGTATTTTGACCAATTAATATGTATTTTGCTACATACCAAGTTCATGCTTAATAGTACCTAAACAATGTACACAACAAAATTTTAATTATTTGGAATCTAAATTTCATATTGGTACATATGTCTGCATGTATAGGTGTGTATATAGTTGAATAGTTACATGTAATGAGTGTGTTTTGTTAATTATTTCATAACTATACACATCCTTTGAAAATTGCAACATACTTAAAACACAAATTTTTTTTAAATGTTTTTTATTAGTATTTACTCTATTGGGTAGTAAGGTATTAATTTTAGAATTTAATGTTTTATTAGTGACCTTTCAATATTCTTATTTTTTCCTTAAATTGTAAAAGATATTTTACCACTCGAAGAACACAAATCAGTTTCGGTTGAATTAAAACAAAGAGGACTTTTAAGCAGATATTCAACACACAAAAAATATTTGTGTACATGATTTTTTAATATAAATATATAGGAATGTTAAGTTTTGAGAAGTGAATATTTCTCTGTCTAACAATTTTCAGTTGTTTCTTCTTCAAATTCTTCAAATTCATTATTTGAAAGAACATAAGAGATAATTTCCTTGTTGAATTTTTCAGCACATTGCTATTTATCCAAAATATGATTCATCTTCATAAATGTAACTAAGAGAAAAATGAAATATTAATTTATTGGATTAAGACAATGATAAATGTATCCATGCTTGAGATACAAAGCACAAATGAACACTTGTTTCCAATTCACATGTAGAGTAGTTTAATGCAAGCAATCATTCTTATCATTACATACATAGGTAACATGTTTTTTTGTTCTAATTTTCTAAAATATTTTGCCACTAAAATCTTATTTGAGACTAAGAGCATATTGTTTTTGAAAACTTTATTTTGATATCTATTAAAAATTCTCTGTCAATACATCAATTTTTGGTTTAAATTACTTTTTTCTGTAAAAGAGATATGTGAAAATATTTCAGTCCATTGAATTGAATTTAAAATTAAAAAACAATCTCGAGCATTTCAACAAGTTATTGTATTTTTAAAACGTGGAAGAAATTTGCAGAAATTCAACAAAAAGCAACACATGTTAATTCATAATACTGCTTAACGTAGATGTGCATTAGGTTTTTCTTATTTTCATGTTCCATTCTTTATTTATTGATTGATTAAGATTGAAGATTTTTTAAATTGATAATTAAAAATACAAAAAAAAATTATATCATCATTTTTTTATTAAAAATTTCTGTTAAAAGTTATAATTTACATTACAAAATTCAGAAAATTGATTTTGATGCTAACGTTTTTATTGTAATTGAAATAGAAGTACCTAAAGCATGAGGAAAATGGAGACAAAGAAATCCGATTTCACAACCAATCAAATCAAACATGCAAGCACCGAAGATCTTAAAATAACTTAAATATCAACTATTGACTTTCCTACAATAATTGAATTATCTTAATAGACATTATGATAAAGAGATCATCAAAACTTCTTTAAAATGAATTGTTGAGGTTCTATCACCTTTTCATTTTCATTTTTATTTCTTTAAGGCGACTTTCTATACTCTTGATTATTTTTTGGAAGATTTTTTTTATTAGAAATACACAATAGGTTGTGGAAAGAATTCCAAAATGGAGGTCCAAGCGCCGATGGAGCCCCTCGGATTGGCCCCAATTTTGGACATGACCGCTTCAAAACCAATAAAAAATGGAAAAGAAGGAATCAAAGATAGCAACAATTCAAAATCCATGCGCGATAAAGAAGAACTCAAAGATAACAACATATTAGAAATGGAGCTCAAAAAAGAAGAAATGAAAGATGGCGATGTAACTAAACCGACGTGTGAGAAGGAGGAAATGAAAGAGAGTGGTATTCCCAAAACAAAGCGAGATATAATTATAGACAATACCCAACAAATATTGGATAAATTGGGTAATATCACAAAAGTAATTGTTGATAGAAATGAGAAATTAAAGGAACAAGGCATTGTGGGTAAAGAAACCACTCAACTTATTCAAACTATGGAAGAAGCTCAAACTGCTTTCAATAAAATTGGCCATGTCAAAGATCCATAAAATTGTATGTAAACATTTATTTTGTCAAGGGATAATTTTTTTGTAAATGAAAATAAATAAATAAAACCACTTCTATTAATATTTCTTTATTTCATTCATGTTTTAACATGTGAAGTGGATTGTAATTTTGTAATTTGTATTATTGTACATCTTTTTGTTTTACAGATAAGATTAACTAGTGTTATTTATATAAATAAATATCCTTTGATTCAAAGTTTTCAATTTGTAGTTTTGGGGTATTTGAAAAACATTAGATTTGTGCTTCATTTTAAGAAAATTTACAATGAACATGCCAACACAATCATAAATGTATTACACCCCATTTGAAAACATCCCAAAGTAACAAATATGTAAATCATGTTCTTGAAAAGCTAACACTAATAGGAAAATCTACTTTTTTTTTTTTTTTTTTAGTTTGTGGTAAAAAGAAATAAAAAATAAAACGAAAATGAAAGATTTTTCAATACGTACAATCATAATCTAGCAATATAGAAATGCTTATTATTTTGGTACAAATCTCTGCAAGACTGGTGAATATTTATTTAGATATTTCTTTTGCCATTTATTTGAGTAAATTGTTATTTTCAATTGTATCAACTTAATATTGTAAACCAGTGTTGTATTAAAAGCTATGAATGAACATGTCAAGTATTTCCATTTTCTTATAGTTTATATATTAGATTCTATTTTACAATATTGTAGATAAAGGCATTTCAATATTTTATTAAATGAATATCAAAACATTAAACAAAGTAAATAAATTGGAACCCAACAAGAATAGTAGAAAATAAGTTTTAATAGTAGTTTATAATCTCCTTACTTGATAATACGTCATTCACAATGTGCTTCTGCTCAGATTAAGTTTCACTCTATCTAATGTTTGGCATTTTGTAGTAATTCAACAATTTCTCATGCATATAATTATAATTTGTGGAATCTGTGAATTTATTACATTATTTATTTTATTTTTTTTTATTTTTTTTAGAATGAGATTTATACGTGGTTATGTGTGATCATATATATTCTTAGCATTATTACCTTCAATTAACTAAAGACAATACAATATGTTTTCATTGAGTTTATAAAAATAACATGTTTGAATGCATTCAACAGTATTGAACTTCTCACATCATCCCCAGACCCAAAAATTAAACTATTCTATAGTGCAAATATTGTAATTTTTATGTGTGTGTGTGTTCATAAATAAATAAATAAATATATATATATATATATATATATATTAATGACACTGCTTTTAAGATATCAGTATAATTGAATTAAGTGAAATATTGTTATTTTTTCACTTTAAAAAAAAGATTGAATCAATATTTTTAAACAACAGAATAAGCAATGACCACAAACCCAGTTCTGATTTATTTTGTACTTTTGAGTACATAAATCATAAAACTTCATCATAGTTTATTTATTTATTTATTTATATCTATATGTATAAATACAGGTAATATTATGAAGTGAATTCAACATACATTTATAAGGGAATTCCATCGTCAAAGTTTTGGATATTATGTAATATGTTGACTTAATATGCATAAACTTAAAATCAAACCACACTTAAAACAATATAAATTAGAGTTTTGGATTTTGGAAATAATTTTGAAAACATACAACATTAATTCATATGCCGCAACAAAAACTCGGTTTGAAAAAAGTGCTCAAAACTTACATTATACTATACATTAAATTTTGGAAAACCATCAAATTTGACAAATATTTGAGACTTCCGAAATTATGCTATTGTGATGGTTTTATATTTAGTAGAATTCGGAAAACCAAATATTGTTGAAGTGACATTTTTCCACTAATCCTTTACACAAAACTATCATTCATATTATATGAAATACTATATTTGTGTAATTTCACATATAGCTGTTTCATTTTAGAAAAATAATTTTACAAAAAATTGAATGATTTAGAGATAAATGAACTAATTTCTTTCAGAAAAATTAAAAAGTATAAAACAAAAAAAATAAAAAATGACAATGACATGTACACATACCCACAAACACATATCAAACTAATTCATGATCAAGTTTTGCATCCAAAACCACCCAACAAAAACTCTAAAACAAACAAAGAAAAAAAAAAAAAAAAAAAAAAAGGAAAAAAAAGAAAGAAAAAAGAACTACCCACGCAAACAAATACCACATTTCAACGACAGTAACGAAGATACAAAAAGTTAAGCCAAAACTCTTCTAAACAAAAATAAAATAAAATAAAATAAAAAATATAGCCAGCAGCCTTCCATTCATTCATTCTCTCCTTTTTCACAACCCCGCGTTCAACCAAACAATAAACCCCTCACCCCCTCCCGAAAATCCTACGTGTGCAATACCCGCCAAAAATGATCCTACGTGGAAACGACGCGTCATCACGGTTATACAATCTATCGCTCTGGTCACCGTGCGGGGGTGTGGGGATAGGCCCCGTGCGGCACGGAAGGGTAACCGTGAGGGACGAGGCCTCGTCGCCACGCGAGAGAGAAGGGCAGCGATGGTGCCTTCCTCCTCCTGCGAAGAAGACGACGACGACGAGGAAGAAGAAGAAGAAAACGAGGAATTAAAGGAAGAGGAAGAGAGGCTTGTCTGCCTGCGTGTGCTTGATTGGGATGGAATATTTTGCTCAGTTAGGTTGTTGAAACTGTCTGGACGATGAGGAGGAGGAGGAGGAGTCAGGAATTTGGAGTGTGGTGTTGCTGAGGGACGGACGGAAAGGAAGGAAGGAAGGAAGATTTGAGGAGGAGGAGGGAGTGAGAAACCATGTTTCACATTGAACAATCCTCACTGCCGGACCACCACTCTGACATAGCGATGGCGCTTGCGGCGTCGCAACAGCAGCACCACAATCAGATTCTGCAGCAGCAGCAAGTGCACCTTCTTCAGCAGCAACATATTCTGCAGCAGCAACAGATACAGTTCCTGCAGCAGCAGCAGCAGCTGCAACTCCAGCAGCTGCAGCCGGTTTATTTCCCTCCTCCTCCGAGGAAGTGGGTCAAGCGGTGGTGTGTGACTCGACACTATTCTGTTGGTTTTTTTGTTAAAGAAGTTCGATGCGTTTTTTTTTTTTTTTTTTTTTTTTTCCTTCTTCTTGGGGAGAATGAGTATATGTGTGTGTTTTATGGGTTCGTGCGCTTGTACTGAAGGGTTGATGTTCTTGCTCTGCGTTCGCCTCGTGGGATTCGCCTTTGGGGGTTGTGTGTGGCAATGGATTGGCGTAGTATTGATTGTGGAGTAGACAATATTTTTCTGTCCGAGAAGAGGAATCGTGGATTTTTCGTTCACGATAACGGTTGGAAGATAACTGGTGCCCAGTTTTAGGGCTGGATTTACATTTTGCGAGTGATCGTTGGGATTCTCTGTAACAATATGAATCAATCAAGGGTTAGGGTTTATAGCTTGTGTGGTGTGATATTTTTTGCTTGAAGTTGATCATGTGTAGTCTGAAGACGTTTAGGGTTGGCTTGGAACAGGGTGCCTCAAGATACCGTCCTGAATCAAGGGAAGCTGTCGATATTGAAATGGGTGACGGGTTAGTACGTCCAACTTATCTTCTACAGTCTTTGTTTTGTGGTTTGTACTGAGTGTGTGTTGGGATACATTTTTCTCAGTGTTACCGTGCTCTATATTTTCTTTCGGCATCCTTACATTGTATATTGCTGGATGATGTATTGAATTCGCTTTTGCGTTTATGAGTAAGCTCACTATCATGCGTCGCATTTTGCAGAGGACATGGTGGCTCAATTCACAGGCATGGCAGCTGCTATGGAAGAGCAAGAGGCAGAAGAAGAAAATGAGATTTTGTATTTGTGTACTTTTGAAGGCTGTGGTAAAGGGTTTGCAGACCCGGGTAGTTTGCGGAAGCATGCACATACTCACGGAGAAAAGCAATTTATCTGTCACTATGATGGATGTGGCAAGGTGCGCAATTTTTTTTTTTTTTCACAACTTTTATTTATTCACGTGTTTCTTGTTTTCCAACATTTCTCTACTTTCTATTGATCAAAAGCTGCGCGTCGTTGGTATTGAAGCAAATTATTTGAAACCCTAAATCCTGGCAAGGACGTAGAAAATTCTCTTTCTATGCGTGGAGTTTTCTTTGTACCGAAGTTGTGGAACTTTTAGTGCAAAAATTCCTGTTAGTTTGTTTATTACATTCCTTATCTGTTTTCTAGACACGCTTTATTATTGGAATATGTGTTCTTACCAAGTTCTCTTTGTCATCAACTTATGATAACATTTGATGTCTACGTACAGCGTTTCGTCGACAGCTCAAAGCTGAAAAGACATTTTCTGATTCATACGGGGGAGAAGCATTTTGTTTGTCCATTTGAAGGCTGTGGCAAGGTGCGTCATGGGGTTCACCATCTGCTATTATTGAAATTGCCTCACGTCTATTCTCTAGTTTTTGTGGGTTATTCCTTTTATCGCGAAAGATGGGTCCAGCGTGCAGGTTTTCTTCCCCTTGTGCACTGGATGAGCTTGCTTACATATTGCATGACAGTCTTGACTCCTGTCAACTTGCTTGTTGAACCTAGTTTCTATTTTTAATGTTCGTTTTGAAGGTATGGATGCTGTCTTCTAGTCGGCGTTTCTTAGCATGTCTATGTCATGTTGTTAATCAACATAGTGCCACGTTGCAGGCATTCTCATTAGATTTTAATCTTCGCTCACACATGCGCACGCACACTGGGGAGAATTATCATGCTTGCCCTTACGAGGACTGTGGGAAGCGATACGCTCATGAATACAAGCTCAGAGCCCACATGAGGAATCATCATGACAAGGTTGGTAGTCCAATTTTCCTTCCCTGAGGACGACCTCCTTACAAGCCCTTTGTTAGCATTTGTATGTAAGGAGAATGAATTGCCCTTTTGATTCACAACATTGTTGTAGCACTTCGACTACACTTCTTACTCACCGAAGTACCTGGTGCAGAGTATACCTGAAATGACTCCACCGCCCATGCACATGGAAAGAGATAGGGAAAGAGATCAGGAGCTTGAAATGAGCAGAGAGAGGGATCGGGATATGGACCGAGAACGAGAAAGAGAAATGGAGAAGGAGAGGGAGATTGCACCAGTCGGAAGGCCCAGGAGTGGGCCTCCCCGCCAGGATGTCAATGCCTCGGACAGGCCATTTGCGTGTCGGTACCCCGGATGTACCAAGCGCTACATTCATGAGTACAAACTAAACCTCCACTTACGGAATTCACACGCCGATGAGAACCCTGAATTCGGAGAAGAACCGATTGGGAGAGGCGACAGTGATGGAGAGGATGACATTGACGATGGCAGCATGCAAGGCACGCCTGCAAGAGCAGCAGCCACTGCAAGAGGCTCTGGAAGGGGGAAGCTGAAAATCATCCCCAAAAGGGATCCTGCAAAACAGCAGAGGAGAGGACACCTCAAGGCACAGAAGGAAGTAGACTTGAACCTGAGGGTGAGGACACTTCCCAGCGAAACTCTACCTACTTACTGGCGAGGGGGTCAAGTGAAACATACCGCACCAGACGATAGCGAAGAAACGGAAGACGAGGATGCTGAAAATACTGAGGACGAAGGGTATAGGTATTACAATGGCAGGGGAGAGGGAGCCATGGCGGTTGATGATGAGGACACCGAAGATGACGGTGACCAATGACTGCTAGCTTTGCAGCTCCTTTTTCTTATACTAAGGAATGGATTCACAAGGAAAGTATCAACAAGTCGAACATTGTATGGAGGCGTAGATTGCCTTGCCTTATCACATAGTAGTTGGGCCGGATTTCTACCTTCGGTCCCATTGTGGCTTACGCCATGTTAATGAGACGATTCCCTTGGAAATCTGATGCGAAAAGACAAGATCCAAGGTCTTGGACTGTGTACCACATTGTTCTTGTCAATGATAATACCGCTCGTTATACCGACCATTTGTGCGGCGGAGGTTTCAGCAGATTCCAAACCCAATTGTGGCTGTGAGGATGTGTTTTTTTCAAGTCATTGAATGTTTCTGATGCACGAACTGAAATAGGTGGCAAGTTGTACATTGTTCTGAGATGTCATGTTTGTTGGCTTGCACTGTGCGTACACTTTCCGTGAGATGCGTACACCTTCCGTGAGAATCATGTACATGGGCATTGTGTATCACAAATCGACCACCAGCGGTGTGAATTGCGTCCACGACATGCTTGGTACTGTTGCCACAAACAAACATTGTTCTCGAAAGTCAATGTCATTAGAGATACGAATTGCTTCGTGTATCTTCGGGAACTTGAACTTCGTTCTTTTCACAATGACTTCTGGGTGATTGGTGCTATATATATATATATATATCTATATGAAAACACTACTCATACTTATCATGCTTGTTAAGTAATCCTTGTGAATATGTTTAAGACTCTTGTAGGATATATTTTGTTATAGAATGCATTGTGAATTTCCTTATCTTACAATTAAAACATGAAATGGACAGCTTAAAATGGACAAGAATCTTAGGTGAAAATCAAACTCAATTGTTTATTTTGACGATAAGACTAGGAAAATGCCTGCATGGTGCACATGATTGTGGATAATATTTGAACTTGAAGTGAACAAGAAAATTGAAACGCAGTAATTGGCACAAAGCCAATCACACATTAAGGTAGCCAACTCATTCTTGACCACCTCTCATTTTTGACCTATAAGATGGTGTATTTCTGCAGTGTCCAACGTAATAGTTATAGTTAGTTCTAATGTCTTATGGTTGGAAATAGATCTAGAGCTTGATAAATTGATGGTTAGTTATGAACAACATATAAAATTGATTGTACTTGGAATGAAATTTAATTGTGCATTAATGGAGTTGTCCATTTGAGGCGGCTGATTATTTTTTGCTCATGCTGTGGTTGGGAAGCGTGGTTGTTATATGCAAATTTGCATGGACAACATGGCAAAAATCCAAAAGACTTTGGTTGGCAATGAAATACTACCAACTCTCATGTTCTCATTTGCAATTCATGCAGTTCCACAATTCAAATGAGAATTGAGTTGAATCAATGCATGGAAATTAATTTGATTGCAAGGTTTGAAAAGGGAAAGGAGAGGGGAGGGAGGGGGAACAAATTGTGTAATTTTCAATTGAGGCAGGTGGTGATTCGTGACTACATACTAAAGGAGCGGCGGTTCCGTAACGTGCAAAGGCGCAAGTGAGGGCACAATGTTAATCCTTGCAAGCAAAGCAATAAGTCTTGCAGGTGAAGACTTCAGCATTGCGAGCTATGAGGGGGTTGCAGAGAACATTGCAGCAACTCAATGCCTCAACTCCATCTTGAAGTGTAGAAGAGACACAATTCAAGGCTTTTTTTTTTTTAACATGCAACCTCACAAGATTAGGATCAGAGACAACATATGTCCTTGACATGGATTAATCAAGCATACAGCTTATAGCCAAGCACTTCATCACAACCTATAATATACAACTTGTAGCTCATGAGCGACACACATTTTGTGTTTGGAAGTCCATTTCAAAATTATTTCACCTATGTGTAGACCATGCTGCAATCACAATAACTGCCCATGATTTTGAACCTCATGATTGCAACATATTCCAATACCATTCCATGTGCAAGCTGTGTAGCCCATACAACCCAATGTTGGAGAAAGATCTCAAGGGAGCTATAAGAACACGGCAGATAGATAGAAGATGTATGAACTAGGGTTCAAAGATGAGCGGAAATAGAAAAATTTGGTTGCAAAAATCTCAATCAAAAACAGCAACTTACAACCAAATGTTTCAATTCCAATTACCTCATCCATATATTATCATCCATGAGTAGCACAAAATGCAACACTTCTCAGTTCCGAGAACCAAACATTCTTGATTTTGTAACCAACCAGTGGACGAAACTAAATCTATGTGACAAAGATGCGTCGAACAAAACCTTCGGCTAAAACATTAATTATAATTTTGTTTTTGGACCAAATGATGTGAAAACACCTAGAATCCTCCTAATTTCTATTTCCCTACACTAAGAAATTTTTTCATACTGCATGTATGCTAAAATGCTTGAGTGATTGGAAATGGGTAGGCTACCTTACTTCTAATTGCACAACAGACACTTGACTTATTGACGAGAAAATGAGTCGGAGAAAGTCGAAATATTGTCAAAAAACCCAAAGACAATACTTAGTTATCTCTTAATAGTTTAAAAAAGACTTGCAGAACTCATACAGTCTAACATTTTACGTATTCATATTTCAAGTTTAAAATGTTACAATACGTGGATTTAAATCTATTCAAATACTCACTAAGATAGTTTCTGCATCAGAAAACAAGTTAGATCATCTGACATTCAGAATCGAACCTAATTGATGTAAAAGTAATAAATACCTGTCCAATTATGATGTAAGAAAAGGTGTAGGCACAGGCAGCCCCAAATTATCTGGAGGAAGCTTGATTACAAATATAGGTTTTTACAATAACGAAACATGGACTCTTTCCCAAGCTCAGCATCTAAGTTTTTCCTCTCCTACACATCCGAGCAGTGAATATCAATATAAATAGTTTGCCAAGAGAGTTGCAACAAGTAACAATTGAATTAACCTACAACCAACATTAAGAGTTGAAAGAAGCTGCACCTACTCGCAGCCCTCACCAATCTTTATTGGTAAATATTAACAGCAATGGGTATATTCCTAAACCTCGAGCTTGTAGACACAAACAAGGCAGAGTGTTAAGTGACCAGAGTTTGTATCTAGAGAGGCACCCCTCGCTTCTTCTTACCAAAGGCAGTGCAGGTACCACATCTCCTGCAAACCTGAAAGACAGTTGCGATCATAAAAAGAGAATTAGATAACAATACAAAGATGTGCCAACTCGGAATTCACATGGAAAGTAGACACATACAAGCATACGTTACCTTTGCTGCTGACCCGATTTGTTCACCACATCCAATACATATTTGTCGTCCACGACCTGCTCCAGTTACATGCTTCTTTGCAGAAGTTGCAGCAGCATTATTCATCATGTTAAGCTCTAGTTTTGATGAGCTTGAGAGCACTGAATCTCCTGAAAACTCTGCGGGCTTGACTCCTCTTGCATCCCAGCTCTCCAAACAGTTTGGTTGCTCTACATAGCCAAGGGATGTCTGAGTTCGCTGACCTTCATGTCGTACATGACCAGCCACCTCTAGCCCATTATCTGCTTCAGCCTCGCTAGAGGATTCTGAGGGAGTATCCTCCTGGCTGCTAGTAGCATCATTACTGACATGATCTGAAACTAGATCACCAACATAAAGAGTAGAAAGTCGCTGCTGGTGTAGATAAGCAGACAGGGGTAGAGTGGCATCCTGAAGCAAGCGTACCATACTTACGCGCTCCTCATGATCGGGTTGAATATTCAAGTCAATGGCTCCCTTCAAAGGTCCGTCCTCTGAACCCCCATCCCTGGAACGAATTAAGGCTGTAGAAAGGTTATCATCCACAATGTTTGCCGCGTCTGCTGTTCCAGATCTACCAACAACACCAACAAGATCAGAAGTATCTTCTTCATGCCATTCTCGCTTATTGCGGAACGCTTCAAACTCTCGCTCGCATTGCCGCTTCTTACGGCGTTGCATAAGGGTCCTGAAGCGACGCTTCACAGTTAAACAAACATTGCAGATACAGGACGCCTTATGTTTCGGTCCCTTGCCGCTTGGGGGCTGAATACACACGATACAGGTACATCCCGGGCGATGCCTCGGGTGTTTCGTAGTCCGCGCAGGACTCAAAGATGTTGACGCTGCCTGAGCCAAAGCGTCTAAGCCTGCTGCAGCTGACGTGGTAGGGGCATTTTCATCCTTACTGGTAGAGGTTAACTTAGGTGCACATTCCTGCTTCCCACCCTCTGCATCATGTCAGACAACCCACCACCCAGGCTGTGTCACCCTCCATCCACAGCCCAACCTTGCACCCCACAACATAGAAAGCATGCAGATCCTTAGCCTGGCCCAAATGAATTAGTTCACGGGACATAGGACTTGCCTGAAGTGGGCCCAGGACCCAGCAGCACTTCTAATTTGTCGCTGCTCACTTCTTGAGCTGCGCTGCACTGTGCTCTGAAAAGAAGCATGATAGAAATGTTACAGGAAACAGAAACACTATGTAAACACTTGTATTAAGCATTGAACTCGTTGAAGAAGAATCTAGCAAGATAACAACCACTAAACTATGAGTGTCTAACGTCAGAAAGGACAAGCGCTTAACTTCTTAGAACATTTAAATTGAAGAGGACCAAAGTTAATATGCCAGTTCCTTTACAGATTTAAAAGCAACATTTCAAATCAACTGTGTTACACAGACTCAGGATTACCTTGTCAGATCCCAGGTATTCTGAGAGCACGACCACCGTGCTGGTACGAAGGCATCAACAGGTACACGACGCCATGTCCCACAGTCATCACATTGAGCCCACTGTTCCTGAGCCCTATACCAAAAGCTTGGATTGTTAATCCTGGACTAAACTGAACATACAAACAAACAGTCGTGTTCGATAACAACTCGACACTGCGTTCAAATGTTAAGACACAGTCTTAAATCAATCGGATATGAACATTTCATACTAGAAACAAGGAGTATTCAGCGTATCACGAGACAGACAATCAGATTGTTAAGGAAATCAAATGCATATATAACAAAGTGAGCATAATTTACCCGGAGGGTGCGTTGGATATAAACGTCCGTTTCGAAAGAACTGGTGGTTCCTGGCAAATGCGAAGATACTGTCAGAAACGGCGCAAAAGTTTTACCATTAAAGCTATGTTGACAAACTTAGTTTATGAACCAGACCTTGCACGAAAAAATTACTCAAACCGAGATCGAGCTCAGATGAAAAAGTCTGATCAATTTAATATCCTTGAAAACTACAAGGAATTAGGCATCCAAAAATGATACAATAGTGGGGGAATTGTATGTTTGTACCGAATACTCTTCAAATTCGTGACCGTCGATTGTGACGACGGTGGAAGAAGCAGACGGGGCAGGGCGAAGCAGCTCTTGAGCTTCCTCCCAGTTGGACTTGAGAAGCATGGAATCAATACTATCTAGTCGAAGGCGCTTGCTTTTAGAGCCCAAAGGCCGCCCACGTTTCCTATCCATCTGCGAGGACCACAAATTGCCAATACTAATGCCACTTTCTTTTGATTTGGACCCTCCCACATTTGAACCCCAACCATCTGCTGATTGAATGACCACGCTGCTTGGATTTGAAAATCCAGTATTAGAGTTAGCTCCAACCCGGGTAGCACCAGCATCCTGAAAACAACCAACAATACTATAATTGTTCGTAATCTCAACTCTGAGGTATTATAAAAGCAAAGCGGCAGCGTAGCCAAGGTGAAGAATACATGTTTCTTCAGTCAGAAACTACAACCACTTCTCCATTTAACCGCAGTGAGTAATGGCTGGAAGCGTGAAAATGTCAAGCAGCCGGTGCTGCCGATTTCTTACATAATTAAGCATGGCTTAGAACCACGGAAACCTAACGATATGAACCCAATTGTGTCATTCTAAAACCTTCACAATAATTGAGTGACCAATAATCACTAACCTGAGAGGAGAGGGAGGTTGGAGCCTTCCGATATCCCATGACAAGCTTTCCATCAGCTTCAAGCCTGCTGAAGGTAACTGCAAGAGCACTGATATTCAGCAATCAGAAGTTTATTGCATAACCGCAAGCTAATAATCTGGACACCGATACTATATCCACAAATTTCTCGGAGTATAGAAGTGAGGAACACATACCTGTATCCCCTGCGTGCAGCTTCATCGATTGAATACATGGGGTAACGCCCTCTAGCACATACATTCGGCTGTTGTTGTTGGGCCAAAAGCGGAATTGGAACACCCAATCTCTGCCTGTGACATCCTGAATTCGTAAGGGCAATCCTTCTGGTTGGTGGATAGGAGGAAAGTATGCCTGCAAGTATTTCCTCGAGCTCTTTAGCTAGTCCTCATACACTAATGCTCCGTATAGTGCGTTGAAACAACTAGTCAAATCCTAAAATTTCTAAACGGTTCGGTGCATATCCTCAGCGTAAGGAAATTCGAAGTACTTCGAATAGTGCGGCATCTGGGAACTAGCGAACATGGAAGGAGTTCAATCTTCTGGTACAAGAACGCCTTCCTTTTCTTAAACATAAGAAAACTATCAATATAAAGCGCACATTGCACTTCTTAGGTAATTAAAAAGATAAACTCCGTGCCTACCTCAGCACATGCTTTTGGAAGCACCAAACGACCAATCCGACCAGCATCGCTGGCACTCAGCATTTTCTCGAACAAGGGAGTGATGGTGGTTTGCATACTAAAATACATTGTCAAGTACACAATTTAAACTGTACCCTTTTAAGAAAATCATAAAAATCCCAAAAACCCTCATCCCACGAAATCAGAAATTGAATGCATGAAATCTGAAAGGATACTCTCCAGAATTGATCTGCTTGAGCTCCTGGTCCGTGATTCGAGGCCAGTACCTAGGCAGCAACTGGTTACGACCTCTTCCTTCTCCAGGTGGCCGTGCTACACGAAGCGGTCCCTGAAAATCAAAGCAAAAATAGATGTTGAGTAGACTCTTATTCATATTGTATTTGTTATTATGATGATGTAGGAATATTACGAATGCTTGATGGGCAAAACATTTTCCTAATTGCAGTGAAGGGCATTTCACGTCCGCTGCCGAGATCAACATCTTTTTCAGATTATATAAAATCAAATGCCGAACAACAGCCTTTGACACGAAACGATGGAAAATGACATGTCCTGCCACCTGTGAACTACCACTGCCACTACCACCTGCTGCTCCTCCAGCTTTTGTTCGATCTGAACACGGATTTCTATCTATTTCAGTACCCTCCCCACCATATTCCACGACTTCCAACGTCATGTGCTCTCGTGACACAGAGTCTGCAGCATCCTTGCTCTTCATGGAAATATCAGTTTCCGGAGCACTCCAAGGTCGGATCAGTCCAGTAGGAGGACTCAAAGAAGTCCTGGCAGCAGACGAGGGCTGCCAAGCTCCTCCGTCGGATTGGCATGCAGCCAATGCAGCTCCGAAACCCTCACACCAGCCTCTGACAGCTGGATCGACAACTTTCCCGCTCTCCAAATGCGTCATTGGGGCGAGTAGCTGTTGTCCATGTTTACCAACCTACACATTGCCAATTATGAACGATACTGAAAAAACATATATAATGCGAATAAGGGGGTTTGGAAAGCATGGCCAGTAAAAATTGGAAAAACGTTGAAACAAACCCCCCACATCCGTCGCTACTCTCCATACAAGACCATTGATAATTATTGTCGAACCGTCCATACGATCATGTATCTGTGACTACTAATGGTTGAGGTCCTGCATCTCCTGCTCTGCAGATTTGCGGCGCTCTAACCCGACTACTTAAAAGTAGTGACGGCAAATGAAAAGTCATCCTAAAATGAGAGGCTGGTGTCTTTGTATGTGCATTGGATTTTGCAATGGGGGTTGAGCATGAAAGAAATCCGCCTTTTCGTAAGTGTAATTCAAAAGCCTCTCTCTGCAAGCAATTCCATGCACACCTAATTTCTCCACTCGTGCGAGAAGGGTCTCTCTTAACACTTCACATCCTTTCTTGAGTCCCCACACCTTCGGGTTATAGACAAATGCTGCTCCCGGTGTCTGAGCCTCAAATCACCAGAGGAATACCATAGCCACTGAATGAAGGTCTTCATATGGGCATGCCTTAATACAGGCTTGGCATAAACCCTACGTACATGATCAATGCCAGCCCACACGTACCAAGGAGATTGAACCAGCCGAATCATGGGCTGTAGCACACCGTATGCACTCTACTCCGCCTTTATCAAGTAGCACTATTCCATAAGCAGATGCTACACAACCACAGTGCACGCGCTGCAAACAACGTCGTTAAGAACACGTTAGCTATTCCTCCGTTGACCACATGGATAAATACGCCCTTTGACGAGTAGCAGAATTTTTTATTTTTTATTATTTCCTTCTTCTTCTTCTTCTTTTGTTTTGTTTAGTTTTATTTTTATTTTTTATGCGGCTAATAATCTAATGAAAAGTTTAAACAATACCAGTCGTCTAAGGTATTTCTATTGGCAGGGATCTTTCCGATGTTCTAGAATAATAGAACTTTCTAGGCATGGCAGAGGGGAAAAGAAAAGTCTATAAATCAGCAATTAGTTGAGTATACTATAAACACAAACCGTCTAGTAAGCTGGAAAGAAAGTCGTGCAACGAAGACCCTACCTTTTTACAGAAGTTGCACGTCCTCCATCCAGCATCATCGCTATGGAACGTCTCACAAAAGCAGGACTGCTGATAAGCGAGCCTGAAAACAACAAGCGATCGCTAGCAAGGTCCACGTTAAAAAAATAGACAATAAAACACTAAACAAATAAATAAACAAAAACGCCCATGCATCGTCATGCTTAGAGCATACAGGGACCTGCGCCATTCGACATCCGACCGGAGACGAAATGCTGCTCTGCGAACTCGAAAACATGTAACACTGATGATTTCATCAGAAGACAACTAGACGAGGCGCCCGCAGCGACAACAGAATTAGAGAGACAGTAGCAAACGAACCCGCAGTAATCACAAAGCTCCGCAGTGCGACCGCTGCGTGTAATCCAACCCGGGCGCCAGATGGTGGAGCTGCTGGTCCCGCATTTGGAGTTCCAGCAGACCTTCCGGCTCTCGGTACTACCCATCGCCATGCCGGACACACACAGAGGCGATGACGAGGCGAGGGTGGTGTAGAGAGCAGCAGCAACAATTAGAATCGATGCATGGAGTGGGCTCCGAGGAGGACACAGCGTGGATCGACAGTAAGCCCTCCCTCCCTCCCTCACACACTTTCACTCACTCACTCTCTCTCACTCACTCTCTCTCTCTCTCACATACACACACACACACTCGCACGACGAGAGACAGAGAGAGACAGACAAACAGACAGACAGAGTGAGAGCGAGAGCGGGACAGACCTAAACGTGGAACTTGGCATGACAAACAGAGAGAGACACACACTTGCACACACTCACACTCTCTCTCACACACACAGACTAGACTCTCAGACTGAGACTGCCCCCCTCCCTCCGAACCCCTGCCCTGCCTGGCTGCTCCTGATGCATACCCGGCGTGGAAGGAATGGCGGGTACGGACGGGTGTCGTGGCACAATGAATGCGTGGGGGTAAAGGGTTGGTGTATGGGGATGCACTTCCGTGAGGGGACGTCACCTTGGCTACAACCCCCCCCCCTCCCCCCCCGTACTCCTTCACCCCCTTCCCATTATTTTATTATGCCTTTTAAATTCTTTACTTACTTCCTTAATTTAATATATATATATATATATATAGATATATTAATCTTGTTCCACTTCCTCTATTTATTTATGTATAACTGCTTTCATGTATTGGGATGTGGTTTAATTCTAATATTTCTCTTGTTTATGTTCAATTTTGATGAATGTGCTTGTAAATTAGAACATGAAAATCACCTTGTGAAGTGTGTATGTTTGATTAGTATAGTGTGGTAATTTTTTTAGGATTCTTACACATGTAATTATTTGATATGGTTTTATTAATATATATATATATATATATATATATATGGATATTTTTGTTTTAATTTAGTGGATACTAAAAATGTCACAACAAAGTAAGATTTTTTATAGGGGGAATACAAAAGAAAAAGGTTGGCAAGGATAGAAATTTTGTTGATAGAATTTAAAATAGGAAAGACTTTTAGCAACTACAGTTCATATCAGTAGCTGAAATGTAACTGTATTCTATTATTAATAGGAATAAAGTTGATATTAAAAGATGTGTTTTTCTCAAAAAAAAAAAAAAAAAAAAAGCATTTAACTAGTATGATTCCATGATTTTTTGATTTTTTTAAAATTTTTACATTTTTTTGTTGTTTTTATTTCAATATTTTATATACCCACAAGCACTTTTATAATAGGTGTACTAAACAGTGGTAGTGATTCCGCTGAAAATCAATCCATGTTTAAGTTTTATTTTAATGACAATATTTGACATTTAGTTTGTGGTTGATAATTTTACTTATTACTATTGTTTTAGTATTAGATGTGATTTATGATTCTATTGAATTTTTTAATAAATGTACAAAGATTTCTTTTTAAAAAAAATCAATTTCATTACAAATACCAACAATTTAAACTAATTTTGAGATTTTTTTGAGTTATTATTAACCTTTTTTTCTAAATTATAAAATAATATTCATGTTATGTAAATAAAGATTGTAATATACAACAAATTGATTGTCAAAAAAATCATCAAACATACAATCAAAAACCAAATAAGTGTGCATAACAAATACACTTTCAAAGAAACATGAAAAATCTAAAGACAACTTAGTCAAGCTATTTTTTATACTACAAAGGGAGAATCTAAGAGTGCAAGTATATAAAAAATCCTAAACTTTACTCAATGGCTAAATTATCATAGCCAAACAAAATCTTATAACCATGAGCTGTCACGGACATACATATAATTACCTATATGAATAGATAAAAGTATGTAAAAGTAGATAAAAGTAGGTTAATTGTGTAATATCTTCTAGAGAAGCTTCTTAGAAGCTTCATAGACGCTGCTTTGACTTTATAGGAGTCTATAGTTGACTTTTAGGCTAGAAACTTGGTCAACAAGTTAGCCATGTGCCACACATGTTGGAAGCTTAAAGAACAAGCTAACTACGTGGTCCATCCATAGAAAACTTGCCTTGCAAGCAAAGGCATGTGGCTTAGAAAGTCAACATATATTGGAGGTCTTATAGAACATCGCCATGTGGCTAAATAGTATATATAGAGGCAAGAGTGAAGCCCTCTTCACTCTTGTCAACTCCTTTCTTGCTTTTAGTCTAGTTTCAAGGGTCTCTAGTTTTCTTGTATTTTGGTAATAGCCATTCCAATTTCTTTCTTAATATACATATTTCTATTTTGTCCTATTTCTTTGAGAAAAGTCTCACTTACTCTTTAGCTTTCATCGAATTCTTGTCCTTGACAGATTGACAAGAGTACACTTACAATATGAGAGCTTTGTCTTTTCTTGATTAAGAGTGGATTACCCCTTTTTCTTGATAAGACATAAGCGCATTAGAAGTTGCGGATTACCCTCTTTTAAACTGATATTGTTCTTAGTATTTTCTTTGTTATCAATTCCTCTCTTCTATTTGTTTTGAGCGTTATTAGACATCTTCTCTTTTCTAAGTGCTACTATGGCAGAGCTTGTTGAAATGAAGAGTGCAATGGCACAGATGCAAGAACAATTGAGGGAGTTAATGCTTGCGATGCATCAACTCAATTTATCACCACAAGGAGCAACAAGAATGGTAGGAAGTGAAGATATAGAGATGATTGGGGCTGCTTCAACATCTGCACCAAACCATGTCCCTTCTCCCAGAATGGAACACCCTTCGAGTATTAGAGAACCGAGAGTGGCCTTGCCCGAGAAGTTTGATGGTACCAGATCCAAGTTTCGAGGATTCATCAATCAGGTCCAATTAGTGATTGAACTTCAACCCCAGAGCTATCCAACTCCAGGGTCACAAGTTAGATTCATTGGTACACTTCTTTCAGGTTCAGCATTGTCATGGTTTTTATCTTTTCTTGAACGATGAGATCCAATATTGGATAATCTGGAGGCTTTTTTGGCGGAGTTTCGATCCATGTTTGGAGAACATGATGCAATTCGTGTTGCAACCAACAAGATCCATATTTTGCGACAAGACAATCGATCAGTAACATTATATGCTTCGCAATTTCGACAACTTGCAACTGATATCAAGTGGGATGATGCCGCACTTGTGAGTCAATTTCTCTACGGATTACAATATGAGGTAAAGAAATTGATGCTTAATTTACCTGATCCTCAAACATTGAGTCAAGCAATTGACTTTGCTGTGAAGTGCGACAATCGACTTTTTGAATTTCGATCCGAGAGTCGCACAAGTAGGCCTCAACGTTACTACAATTCAATGGCAACACCGACGTCTCCTCAACACATACCTTCAGAAGTAGAGGATATGCAAATTGATGCGGTACGTTTCAAACCTCTTACTGAGCAAGAAAAGTCTCGTCGTCGACAAGAAGGATTGTGCTTATATTGTGGAGAACCTAAGCACACTGCTCAACATTGTCCAAAGAAGCGACGTAACTACAAAATGAGGAGTATGGCTGTCAAAGAAGACAGTATGTCGGAAAACGAGTATGTCCAGCTACAATAGGGACCGTGCGGCTGGAATCTTGTACAACTTCTAATGAAGGTCCTATCCTCTCCTCAGAACCATCTCCTTGTTTTATAATAGATGTTCGTTTAGGACCTAATAATTACAAAGCCTCTGCATTGATAGATTCAGGAGCCTCAGCTTGTTTTTTAGATGAAGAATTTGCTAGATGTCATAGAATATCATTAATACAAAAAACTAAACCTGTACACGTAGAAGTCATAGATGGTCGTCCGTTGTCTTCTGGAGATGTAACTCACGAAACACTTCCTGTAGATGTAGTAATAAATGGTCATAGTAGTTGCGTAATTTTTAATATAATTAGATCTCTCTCTAATCCAGTAATTTTAGGCTTATCATGGTTAGAAAAGTATAATCCTCAAATAGATTGGATTTCTCGTAAACTTGATTTTCCTCAGAGCATTAGTAACAGTTCTATTAATCAAGTAAAAAACCATGAGTCTAGTATAGTAAAACTCGCACTTATAGGTGCAAAAGCATTTATACACGCAGCAAAAGAAGGATCAACTTTTGCTATTTATACTGCACCTATTTCTGAAAGCGTAAAGACTTCAAGTGGCATTCCAAGTCAATATCAGGATTATCAAGACGTTTTTGAGAAAAAGAATGCAGATATTCTTCCTGAGCATCGCCCATACGATTGTTCAATCGATCTCAAGGAAGGAACTCAGCCACCATTTGGACCAATTTACAGTTTATCGCAAGATGAGTTGGCTGATTTCAAGACATATATTGACGAGAATTTAGCGAAGAATTTCATACGCCATTCAAAATCTCCAGCAGGAGCTCCAATTTTATTCGTAAAGAAAAAAGATGGATCTTTACGAATGTGTGTTGACTATCGAGGACTCAACAAGATCACAATCAAGAACAGGTATCCATTACTTTTGATATCAGGACTCCTTGACCAGTTAAATCAAGCTAAGATCTATACAAAAATAGATCTAAGAGGAGCATATAATCTAGTACGGATCAAAGAAGGAGATGAATGGAAGACTGCGTTTCGAACCAGGTACGGACACTTTGAATACAATGTCATGCCTTTTGGACTCACGAATGCACCAGCTGCTTTTCAACATCTCATGAATGATGTATTTCGTGAATTCTTAGATAATTTTGTCGTCTGCTATCTACACGATATCCTGATTTATTCTAAGAATGTTGAAGAACATGAAATACATGTTCGTCAAGTATTACAAAAACTTAGAGATGCAGGATTGTACGCCAAGATAGAAAAGTGTGTATTTCACACTACTCAAGTTGACTTTTTAGGATACATCATTTCAAATGATGGTCTTATGATGGATTCTAAGAAAGTCCAAACAATCATGGATTGGAAGATTCCAAAGACTGTAAGAGATGTCCAATGTTTCTTGGGATTTGCCAATTACTATCGGATCTTCATCAAAGACTTCTCACGAGTTGCAGCTCCACTTACACGCTTGACTAGTAAAGATAAATTCCAATGGAATCAAGAAGCGGAAGCAGCATTTGAAGCCTTGAAGACATCGTTTGTCTCTGCACCAGTCTTATATCGTGTTGACTTTTCCAAGGTATTTTTTATGGAAACAGACGCATTGGATTTTGCCTTGGGTGCAGTTTTATCACAAATGGGAACAGATGACAAACTTCATCCGATAGCTTTTCATTCAAGAAAATTCTCAGCAGCCGAGATCAATTATGAGATCCACGATAAAGAACTTCTTGCAATCGTGGATTCTTTTCAAGAATGGCGTCATTATCTAGAAGGTGCTTCTAGTCCAGTCATTGTGTATACAGATCACAA